CAGGGCTTGGCACCCTTTGGAAATCATTTCTCCTAAGGACCAATTCAGAGGAATGCACACACACAAAAAAATAGGTTGACTTTTTCCTCACACATGGTGGGACCAACAATCTCTTGCAGCTTTCTTTATCTTAAACAGAAGCAGATCTCCTATTTTATTTTTTAAGAAACTTACAGTTTTAATATGACCTATAAATCCCTGCCTAGTCATATTTGCCATCTCTCCAGCTAAATTTTATGTCACTATCCCCCCTCCCTCCCTCACTATGTTCCAGTAACAATTATCTTCTCTCAGTTCCTCCAATGTGCCAAGCTCTTTCCCGTTCCAAAGACTTTGAGATGCTGTTCTCTGCCTAGAGTGTTCTTTTCATGCTTGTGCCTGGATAAGTCCAGCTGCTCCAAAGATCCTTCCTTGACCCTGTTCACACCCACCATTCAAATTGGTACATAAATTACTTCCTCATTCTTTTTCACAGCTGGCCAGTATCCCATTTTCTGGATATACTATCTTTATTTAATCAATTCTCATTGATTGTTATTTAGATTCTTTCCAATCTTTTGTTTTTACAGTTAACAATCTTGATCATAAAGCATATCTATAGAATAAGTTACTAGAAGAAGAATTTACTGGATTAAACTGTGTGTGGAAACCCTTTAGCATAGTGGTAGAGTCTGGACTCCATACCCTGCCAGCTGTATGACCTTGGGCAAGTTATTTAAGCTTTCTGTGCCTCAGTTCCCTCATCTCTAATGTAAGGATAATGGCTGTATTTCTCACAGATTTGTCATAAGGATTAAGTGAATTGGTACATGTATGGTGCTTAGAACAGTGTCTAATTATCAGCTCATTATTATTAGCATTTAAAATTTTAGATATGTTTCTCTTCAAATGTTTTATACTTTTATACTTTCAACAGTATAACAATGTCTATCTCTTCACACCTTTAATATCATGTCTTAAACTTTTTGATCTTTGCTAATTCAATAGTGAACATGGCATCTTATAATAGCTTAATGTCTATTTCTCTTAATAAGAGTGAAGTTAAGCACATTTTCACATATGTAAGTGCATTTGTGTTTCTTGTGTCCCAAATTTTTCACATATTTTGCCATCATTGATCTTTCTATCATTGATTTGAAGGAATGATTTATGCATTAGAGTTTAGCCTTTGTGCTTAATTGCTCTTTCATTGCAACTAAGCATTTTATTTATTTAGTTGCTGTTTCATTGCAACTAAGCATTTTATACTTTTCCTTCATAGTATTTATTTCTACTTTTTTTTTTTTGAGTTGGAGTCTCACTCTGTCACCCATACTGAAGTGCAGTGGCCACTACTGGCCACCGCAGCCTTGACCTGCTTGGCTCCGGCGATCCTTCTGCCTCAGCCTTCCAAGTAGCCAGAATTACGGGTGCGCACTACCACGCCCAGCTAATTTTTTTGATTTATTGTAGAGATGAGGTCTCGCCAAGTTGCTTAGGTGGGTCTCGAACCCGCGGGCTCAGGCAATCCACTCACCTCAGCCTCCCAAAAGCGCGGGCACAGGATTACAGGCTGAGCCACCGAGCCCGGCTTTTTTTTTTTTTTTTTGAGTTGGAATCTCACTCTGTCACCCAGACTGGAGTTCAATGACCGTTCCTGGCCATTGCAGCCTCAACCTGCTGGGCTCCGGCGATCCTTCCTCCTCAGCCTTCCAAGTAGCTGGAACTACAGGAGCGTGCACCATGCCCAGCTAGTTTTTTTTAATTTATTGTAGAGATGAGGTCTCGCCAAGTTTTCTACGTGGGTCTCGAACCCACGGGCTCAAGCAATCCACTCACCTCGGCCTCCCAAAGCACTGGTATTACAGGCTGAGCCACTGAACCCAGCTATTTCTACTTTTAATGGTGTCTTTATTTTTGATTTTTTAACGCTCCATAAAATCAAGGAATTATGTCTATTTGTCATTGTATATTGGGTATCTAGCAAAATTCTGAACACAAAAAAATGGTCAGGAAATGTTTAATGAATGAATACATGGGATGAATATGACAAAGAGACTCTTTAGTACATAAACAGGACTGGGAAATTGGAAAGAAAACTATTTTGTATGGAAATGTGATGTGTTGGTTTGGTTTTAGATATGTTGAGTATTAGGTGACAACCAGTATTCGAAGTTAGATATGTTTAAGACTTTTACTTTGGCAAGATACTTAATGCAGATTTTGCCACCATCATCATGACGTTGTTGATTGGAAACAGATTATCTCTGATGGAGAAAATGTTATGTGAGGATTCATAGATAAATATTTCCAAGCAGAAATAAAGTCAGGTGGTTATAGTTTTCATAACAGTTTAAAAGCAAATATGAAAAGAAAAGGAGTAATGAAAGTAGTATACACACACACACACACACACACACACACACACAAACAGGGATGCCAAAAAAAGTATACACATTTTAAAAGATGTTAGATGTTTGCCATATCAGAAGTGTCTGGATGAGGGTGGTAACCAATTCGAGCACCTCTTGTAGTTGCAGAAGTCAAACATGACTAGTTTTCCTCTTTTGTTATTGGTATATATTGAATATTACAATTTTAATAGTTTTTTTCCTCTTAAAATGTGTATACTTTTTTTGGCACTGGGGATGTATGTGTATACATTTGCAATATATACATTTGCAATCTATATTTGCAAGTATAAAGATATAGTGAAGGTACAAATATTTTAATATTTGAAATACTAGTGATTATTGAAAGTATTTAGATAATGTTATAATTATATCTAAATTACTTCTTATGAAGAAATGAAAGCCTTTTCCAATGGAAAACCGAGTCTATCAATAAGTTTATGGAAATCAAAAGTGCTCTTTTTGCATGAAAGTAGGCTATTTGTATTTTTCAGTTTATAAGTGGTCAGTGATTGTTTTCTATTACTGAACTATCACTGAGAGATTAATTACTATCAGGTTATTCTCCAAGTCTGTCATGTACATATTATCTGAAATCTCCATATAGAAGACATAAAAAACTGTTCATTCTCCTAAAAAGAAACACTTTTTTTTTCAGAACAGAGAATATATCCTAAAATAAGCTATACCTATTATTTAACATCCAAGGATATCTTTATGACTATAGTCATTGAATAACCATTGTGACCTAAATGCTTATGAATTAGTACCTTTATATGTCTGTTTTATAATTCTTTTTTTATAATTGTAAGGAAACAATCAAGGCAGAAATTCTATTCTGATGGCAGTGGTGTGGTAATCTGATAGCAATCTCAATTTTTAAATGATCCTGTGGATTAACAGATACTATCTTTAAAGTGTACTTTTTTCCCTTTGTATTAAAAAGATACCTGTGACTTAAAAATTAGAACAACAGATATAATTTTGCTGGTCAGACAAATTAGTCATTTAGCAGACAACAACCCTAATTGCCTTAAAATAACTTTCTACATAACTTTTAGCTGTCTTTGCCTTAATGATCTAAAATCCTGGTATTTCTGAGAATTTTTATCATGAAAGCAAGGTTTTCATGTACAGTCATCAGATTTTTCCCTCAGGTGAGGAGCTTATCAGTGATGAATGAATTGATCTGTAAAAAAGATGCAGAAAGTGTGAAGACAGAAAATATATCTCCTTGAAGTAGTGCAGCAGCAGCAGCAGTTTATCATGGCATGTCTGGCTAGCATATGCTAGCAGTGGACACTCGAGGAGATGGCGATAGAGTCACTCAAGGGCTTTTGAGAAGCCAGTCATTTGCTTATGCTGAATTCTCAGAAGTGCTTATTTTCTACTTAGAATAGGAACATGTATTCATTAAGAGAGAATAGCAACTCCAAGGTGGCCTGTGTTCATATACAAAGGAAATACTTATGAAATTTTTGCCCAAGGTCTAATGTTATACAATCTGTGTTAAAAGACCGGAAATGAATATAAAGCGAAGCTTGTTATTTGTTTTTCTTAATTACAAAAACAACACCCTTAGAGCTGCTTTTCAAAGAATATTCTCGAAGAAGCAAATGGTGATGGAGTAAGGTTTTATTTTATTCAAATAGTTGTGGTTCCTGCACTTTTGCTTTGCTCCTTACTGAACCTTGGGGGAATGAAAGCTCAGTCATTTTCCAAAGAAGTAAGCTACCTGAGTTATAAGCCAATGTCAAAGAACTGATCCAAAAGGTCAATTAAACATTCTTAGCAGTACTCAGGGATGGAGTGGAGGGGTGAAAACCATTGTGTTCTAGAGGGTAGCACCCAAAATCAGAATGTCAGTGAATGTGGTGGCCCCAACATGGGCTGTTCTCTTGGTATGATGAGGGCCAAAATGCACTCATTTACAGAAATATGGCCAAATATTGCTTGCTTACGTCAATCCACATCTCTTTATAGCTAACTATTCTCACTCCCATTACAGAAATGGAAGCTAAGTTTAGCAAATTGTTTGGCCGTTTTTGTTTAGTGCACAAAATTCTTAATTAACAAAGTAAAATGCCACAATCCATTGTAAATCACTTTGCTAAACTTTCAAACTTAATAAGGAATTTTGTCTTGTCCAAAAGCTACTTTCAAACCCCTGCTGATCTGGCACTCATATCTGATTCCCTGTGGAGCTGAGTGAAAGAATGTAAAGGGAGCCAATTAAAGAAACTTTGAGCCAGAATAGACAAGCAGAGGCCATCTTGTCCATCCTTCTGCCTTCAGGCAAAATCCATCCATTGCAACACAGATTTTTGCTTGAATCCTGCTGACAAAAATGCTCACCACATGTAAATGACAAGTCATAATCCAGTTATTGCAACTAAAGCAGATTGTTAACTGCTCAAGACTTATTTATTGTGTTCTAAAGATGCTGAATATGAAAGCTAATCTAAATTGTCTTAATTCCCCCTTTCTAGAAAATTATTTTTCACCAGAAATGTGCTCCAATAATTGTAAAGATGGGGGAGGTTTGTGTCCAGGAAATAAAGTTATCTTTATCATCTTATTAAATGTATTTTTGGTTTCCTTTCACTGTAGGTTTACCTTATGGGTGGGAGGAAGCTTACACAGCAGATGGAATCAAGTACTTCATCAAGTAAGTACAAGCATCTCAACCAAGTAAGCAATTTTCTTCACATCTGGAGAGAACCTGGAAGTTGCAGAATAATCAGTAAAACTGAGAAACCTTCTTGGAGGTTATAAAAATTAGTAACAAGAAATGAAGCCTCACCATTTTCATTTCATGTGATTTAAATGCTAATATCAAACTTCATTTGGGGGAAGAAACCTGGTAATAATTTCAGGGGAAACATCAAAAAATTGGAACAGGATGATCATTTGAACTTAAATGTTGGATGCCTGAATTCATTTGCTGGCTGGTAGTATTAATATTTATGAAAAGTTAATATCTAATGAAAAAATCCAGTTTGCATGTCTTAAAATTTTTAATGATATACTAATAATAACATTTTTAATGCTTTAAAATGTACACAGTTCATTCTACAAATATTTTTTGAGCATTTTCTATTTGCCAGGCAATGTTCCATGCCCTCGAGGTATAGTGGTGAAATATATAGACTGGTTCTCTGATAGTGTAGAATTTACATAATAGTAAGGAAAAACAGACAATAAATAATTTAAGAGATAAATAGGACACTATATGAACAAATCTTATCTCAGTGTATTCTCAGAACAGTCCTTTAAGGTATGTGTACTTTATGATTTTTTCTATTTTATACATGGAAAAAAAAATAAGACCCTTGAGTAAGTACCAAAATATTCACAGCTACTAAATTGCTAAGCCAGAACTAGAATCAAACTCTTCTGACCCCAAGATCCTACTACTGTATTAGGCTGTTGCTGATAAAGACCTGTCTTTGAATGCCTGAACAGGAATACATTTTTTAGCTCCTGGACTGGTTAGTTTTGCCCTGGACAAAGCTGTCTGATATACTTCCACTGTTATCTGAAAGTTCTTTTATGTCAAAATTGGCATAATGAGAGCACAAAGGGGAAATCCAAATAGATCCTAAGATTCCAGGAGACTCTTTTTTATATCCTTTTAGCAAATTATATTTAATATACATTTGAAGAGGAAAAAGGAGACATGTCTTTGCTATTCTTTCAAATATGCAAATATTTTTACAAAACAGTAGCTAGATTTTGGATTCTCAAGCCCTGTGACTTTACAGATTCTTATATTTCTCTTTACCTAAGTTGTCACATCAGAAGATAAGGGGAATATTGCCTACTTTATAAGTTGTTCAGTGTTAAGCACCTAGCATAGAACTTTTAACACAATAGATGCACAGTGGATAGTAATCATTAATTTACAATATGGAGAAACTGTCATGGTGGCAGAAAAGAAACCCTGAAAAATCAGATGATGATTGAAAACATTGAGAATTCAAAAGCTTCATATTTGAAAAGATTTAAGGAAAAAATAGGGATAACCCTGGAAAAGTGTTTTTATCATGTATTTTTTTTTTATGATCTCTAGCAAAAAGTGATTGATAAAGCAAAGGTATTGTTTATAACAAGTGAAGGAGAATGGAACTTTTGGAGCAAGGGACCCAGGAATTCCAAGTACAGATTACGTTTAACACCACACTATTTATTCACTCAGAACCATACCTCTTCTGGAAGGAAGCTTGCTCTCTGATATACTGGATTAATCATGTTTAGTTCCTGAGAGATTTGAATCACCGTACTGTAGGAATAGCAGGAAAATGAAAAACTTCATTCATACTACATTTGCACTGAGTTTTTCTCTCTTTTTGATATTAACTTTATAACTAATAACGTAAAAGATGGGGAAAGTGAGCATTTACTGAGCACTAGTTGGTGCTTAATAGCCAGAAATATGCGAGGTATATTTTTCTATAGTTTATATCACTTAATCCTCTTAACAGTGTGGAAAGTAGGTGTTACTGGGCTCTTATTAAGATGGTATTATGATGGTGGTGAAGATACCCCCAAAAAATGCATGATCAAAAGAAGAAAAGCTAGCATTCATTATTAACTGGGGGTTTACATTCAGAGGCCTTTGGAAAATGTCTGAACCCTATGGGGAACTCCTTTATCTAAGCTAAGCGGTCTGTCAGTATATCCTAACCCCAAACCAAATGTCAGAATCTGACTAGTGCCTTAAGAGAAGAGGATACTAAGTGCACAATTCCCCACAAAGAAAAAAGAGGGAGCAAGAGGTGGCCATCCAGGAAGTCCGTTTGTCTCCCTGCCTAGTACCCAGCTGTCTTAAGCCCCTATTCCTTGAAGACTGCAACAGTAGCCTGAGGTGGACTCCTACTACAAGGGAGAGTAGCATCCAAGGAGAAGAGACCAAAAAGTCACCAAGGCTGTTGGCTGCCCTGCGATCTGATTCACAGTTCCTGTGAAAGGAATATAAAGAGAGATTGTTACATTCATCTTGTCCCCTTTGCTCCACTCAGAAAATATACCCCAAAGAGTGTGTTTTGGAAGCCCATCAATTTTCTTCCTTGACCTTAGTCTTGACACATAAAGAAAACAGAAAAAGAGATGATAAGATAAATTTGTTCCCCAAAGGGCAATGGTGGATATCATTGTCTCACCATTACAGTTGGAGAAACTGTTAAAGGGACAACACTCATCAAGGTCACATGGTAGTGAAATTGCAGAGCCAAGATACAGATACAGGGTTGTCTGGCTCCAAAGCCACCCCCACACATACTCATGCTGCACCACCCCCACCTCCTTTTGCTAATGTGTGACAAGAAAGACATTTTAAACAGATCTTGATTTAGGTAGAGCTCTATACTTGAACTGTTTTTAACTAGCAGAATGGAAACTTAGTTCTAAGAATAAGTAATTACCTCCTGGAGATTAGAAAGGTCAAAGAGTAAAAATAAGAAAATCTAACAATATACTCATGTTTTCTTTACCCAGCCTCAGGGAGGAATGGAGTGCAGGGCATGAGTTAGTTTTGTTGTTAGAACCTAACCCCATTCAAGTACTTTTATTAGTTTAACTGTTCTTGATGAAAGTCTTACTTTAATGTGTGTTACATACTTCCCTACCTCCTTATATGGAGGCCAGTGAGCAAAATTCTTACGAACATCCATCATTATACATAACACAGGAAGTTCTTCAGGAGATATTAAGCTATATAAGCCAGAGTAGAGACAGAGCTGTCATCTCTCGCTGCTATGCCTGTCCCTCCCCTCGTCTTCTATCTTTTCCCCTCTACACAAGCCACTTTCTTCCCCAGGAGTTTCTTATTTGAAGAGAACAGGACACCAGATAAGAAGGCTAATTTGAACCGCTTGTAAATAGTCCTTGAATATGGGTCTGCAGGAGTGCTTATGTGAGTCAAGCATATAAGTTCTGGTGCAAGTGGATTTGATTACAACAAGGCCATCTGGTATAAGGGGAAAAGAGCATGAGCTTTGGACTTGGAGAAACTTCAGTTAAAATGTTGATATCTCCACAGAATAGCTGAACAACCATGAGCACGTTTACTTAATTTCTACATTTATAAAATGGAAAGTATATTAGCACTTAATAGGTTTCCTATCTGGAATGAATAAACTGATTATGTAAAGAAAGAGCCTATCATAGCACCTGGCCCAAAGACACTTTCAGCAAAGATTAGTCCTCTTCAATCCCTCCTCTCATTCTAACATTTTGGTGGGGTTTCTTCATGTCTCTTAGCTGCATTCAGTTAGGTAATGTCCCCAGATACGTAAAGTCCACATAAGCAAACATCTACTATATGTCTTTTCTGGAACTATCCAGTTTTGGGTTTGGGGTTTGTTTTGGTTTGGTTTGATTTTTAAATCTTTATACTCTTTCTACTCCAACCAAAATCTTGATCCTGGATAGCCTGTGTTAGCTTTTGAGGTAAGAATGGTTCATTTACCAGGTGGATTATATTTTGAAGAAAATAAATAACAAGTTATGAACTCAGGTCATTGCCTTCCTCACCTTGACTTAAAAAGAATAGTGATTGAAATCACCCTCCCAGATCACCGGAAGAGGTGATGGTCTGTATTCATATAATCTCTTCCCTGAAATTGGCACCTGTCACTGCCTTCCCAGAAATGAAATTGTTACATCTGATGGAAACCAAGCCTCAGGCAAAGGAATAACTGTCAGTGCTGTTCCAAGAATGTCCAGATGAACGGTCCTCATTGAATATTCCTATCAATCTACGTGTCCAATGCACATCTATTAATACTTTGTCATCTACTTAAGCTCTGATGCAAGAGACGAAAGCATTTTACTCAGTATAAACAAGTGAAATCAGTGCTAGCATTGCTAGAACCAGTACTTTATAGTGTATGCATGTGTGAGAGAGAGTGTGTATGTGTGTGTGCGTGTGTGTGTATGCATGTATATGCAGGGTTACTATATATATATTACATATATATATATGTATCAGTGCATTCTAGGACTTTTTAAAATTTTTCTCCTTAGAGAGAGTTGCAGCATTCTTAAATTTAATGGTAAAATCCCCATTATCTTGAGAATGCTATAATGAAATTATCTAATTAACTCGGCCATTTTTCCAACCAACTCCTTACCTTCTCTTTGAAGTTACATACCATTACATATTTATGGTAGTCTTTTAGTATGATTCCACTTTAAAAGTTCATATACTTTGTACATATATCATATAACAAAACTGTGAGAGTTATCAAGTTTGTAAGTAAAACTGAATTTAAATATTACAAATTAGACATAGCTGCTGATTGCTTTTATTGTACTCTTTTATCTTTCTATTGAAATATTCAGATTCACTGTGATTAATGATCATACTTGTATTCATTCTCTATTTCTGCATAATAAATTTCTCCAAAATTTTGCAGCTTAAAACAATATGTATTTTCTCACCCAGTTTCAGAGCATCAAAAATCCAGAGTGACTTCACTGGATCATTCTGTCTCTCCCTCTCTCTTACTCTCACTCTCTCTCTCTCTGGGTCTCTTATGTGCCATCCAGGAAGTGAAGAGTGGCTCAGTGGGCTGGCTGGAATGTTTGTTCAAAGCCTACTCATGAGGCTGTGGGCAAAAGTCTTCAACTTCTCATCATATCATGAACACATAGGGCTACTCAAAA